TTTGTTTTTCTGTGCTCACTGCTGGCATCAGTCTCAGCGTGTCTGAGATCTCCACAGGCTCTGCTTGAACCAAGAAGCCATTTCCAGGTAGGAATTTTCACACAGTGTGGGGTGGATTGGACCCACATGTCTTGCTCTTTTTCCCATCCCTGCAGGCTGGTAATTCCTTGGCAAATGTGCCACAGGAGGATTCTCCATTTGGGGTTTTGCACGGAGACTCAGGGAGGAGAAGAGAAGTCTGTCAAACTTTTTACAACCCCCTGAGAAAGTTTGACTCTGTTTTCCCTGTCACCCTGACACATTAATGGCTGGAACTGATGTGTCCTCCTTGCTCCTTCCCACACTTTTTCACGTCTCCTGCACCAGCACAAAGCCGGTGTTTTCTCGTGAATAAAGGGAAGAATAAAACCTCATTGGAAAGTTCATCAACTTTGGGCTCCTGCTCGCTGAGTGATAGATAGCTTTAATTACACTGAACTAGTTGGCATCTCTACTCCACTCCCCAAAGTCATTAAAAATAGATTTTCTGTTTGAACTCCAACCCCCTGAGGGGTCTGTGGGCAGCGTGCCGTGGTGGTGGGACACCCCAGGGACTGTCTCCAGCCGGGGAGGTCAGAGGCCTGGGCTGGTGGCACGCACAAGCTGTGGAAACTTTGCTTTAGTTGTTTATTTTAGGTATTTATTTATTTATTTATTTGGAACTGGTTCCTTGCACTTGTTTTCTCTGAGGGCTGGCTGAGCTGGAATTCATGTGTTTTGGAGAGTCTGTATTGATTTTTATTTTTTTATTTTTTTTTTTAGCTGATGTTATGGGTCAGGCAGTCAGGGAAAGGTGTAATGAGACTTTATCATCTAATTATTGAGAAGCAGGTTCATTTTGGCACAGAGAGAAGTGGGGAACACACTCCTGCCGTGGTGATGGACCTTCTGAGATGTTTGCTTGGAGTGCCAGGAGTGTTCCTCTGGCCTATCTGCCCTCATGCGACCAAAGAGAAGTATTTGCACTTGAAAACTAATTACTGAAGTCCAAAATCCTTCCCAAATAAACCACACAGAGCTGTCCTGGGGCTGGCAAGGAGCAAAGAGACCAGGCTGTGACAGATGGGAGTCACGTTGGGTCTGCAGAGCTGAGAGGTGCTGGTGCCTGCTGGCATGAGGATGATGGGGTGGAGATGCCACGAGTGCTGTGGTGGCCAGAATTTGGGATTGCTGAGGGTGACTGCACCCCTCCTTTCCTGCTCCCTGCCTTTGGAAAGCTGTGGGCCTGCAGAGCTGACCCTGCCCAGCTCACAGGCAGGGTCTGTCCTCCCTCCCTGCCCTTTCCACTGCCTTATCGGAGCAGCAAACTGCTCTGGGTTCTGTTGGTTCTGCTGGATCTGGTTGCTGAGGGAAACATTTCAGCTCTGTCTTGAGCTGCTGGTGGCCATAAAATGTGCCAAGGATGATCCTGTGACCCTCATTCCCCTTGGATGGGGAGCAGAGCTGCTGGTGTGGGAGGCAGGAGGGGGTGTGTGCAGGGACAGGGGCTCACAGGATGCCTCCTCAGAAGCCAAGCAGGATTTCTCCCATCACTGGGAATGTCGGTGTGTGGCAGCGACAGCCACTGCTGTACCAGGGGCAACAGCAACCCCTCTGCTCTGTCTTCCTTATGTTTCCTTCTGGTTTTCCCTTCAGTGCTTTTCTGTCTCCTTTCCTTACCATTTCCTTCCTATTTTGCTGCTCTTTTGCCTCCATGCTCTCATTTTTCATCTCCCTGTTGGCTGAAGGGGACATGGGAGGAAGTTGTTGGACTTGGGAGTCCCCTGTCCCCCACCCTGATCCGTCTTGCTTTCCCTTCCAGCTGCAGGCACTGCTGTTCCTTGTCTTCTCTGCCCAGCCCAGCGCAAATTCTTTGGTCTCATAATGACAATTAGGCTGTCAGAGAACAGTTTAAAAATACCTAAAGCCAAGAGAGTCTTTCCAACCTGCCATCAGGAAGAGTAAGGGCAGCAATGTTTTACTGCTGTGCTGTCTCTGAAGGAAATACAGCTTTCAGTCTTCTGTGTTCATGATAGGTCTGGGATAACATATGGATGTGTCCTACTCTTAAAGGGATTTCTCTTGTTTGTCCATTAAAATGAAACATACTCTGTAGAGGGTTGGAATATTTCTGATATTTGGATCGTGGCTGGTAAGGGGGTTGATTATGTGCTAGTGCTGAGAGAGCTGGGCAAATACTGCAAACCTCCCCAATTTTTTTTCATGCATGGAAATATTCCAGTGCTTCTGATCATAATCTGTCTAAACTTATTCATTTAAACTTTTACTTGGACATTGGGGCAATAATTTCTATGAAGGGTGAATTTCAAAGACGCAGGATTAAGTATTGGAGAAAGAAATTCTTCTCCTCTGATGTTTTACACCTTCCTCCAGCCAGAGACCACAGGGCATATCCAAGGCTATGGAACTGCTGATCCAGAGGGACCCTCAGGACTCTGCTGCCCTGTGGTAGGATCAAGCCCACCCACACACCTCAGGCAGGTCTGTTTTGGTCCCCAAAAAAGGTTGAATGGGTGAAGTTCCCTGCCTTGCCTTTTTCCAGCGTTACAAAGAAAGGATAAAATGGTCCCATTTGGGCTGGAACCTTACAATTCTTTGCATTGTTCCCAATTTCTGTGGCATTTTTAAAGAATTATCATGTGCAGAAGCTGCAGCTTCTGAGCAGAAAAAGAACCCGAACGCGTAACATAAAATCATCTCTAATGAACTCTTATTCATCTAATTCAAATCCTCTGTTATTTATAGAGCCCTGAGAGAGCATCCAGCTCCTCACAAACATGAAACAAGCCCTGAGCTGCATATCAATCACAGGGACAGATCCTGTCAAGCCTCACTTTGTGGGTAAGACGAGGTGGGGCAGCAGTGCCTGAGGATTTTGGGGGCTGTCCTGACCTCCAGGGTGGGTGAGAGCCAACCCACCAGCACATGCTGGGGAGATTTGAGGTGGGAGACCCAGTGAGCTTCCTGGATGCATCCTGTGGTGGCTGGTGTCTCCCAGGGGGGATGAGAGCTGTGGCAGCTCCCAAGGGATGCTTGCCTGGCTTGGAAAACACATTTACTTCTAGTTTTCCACCCAGGAGCCAGGTGATGTCTGCACTGGTCTGCACTGGGAGATGCTGGGTGACCACTGGTGGTGGGAAGGGCGTGGGCATGGTGGCAGCACTGGGCAGGGTGCAGGAGTGAGCCCTGGATGGGCCATCCCAGGGGGCTGTGCCTGTCACTGGGATCCTGGGCTCGCTCCCACCCCACCATAACGTCCATAAAGTGCTTTGAGCTCCTTAAGGGAAGAAGCAAAGCAGGTAAAATACATCACATGTGACCAGTCAAGGCACAGACCCTGAGAGGACACCCCAAACACCTTCTGCAGCCAGGATTCCAACCCAAGCCCTTCCTTTCCATCTCTGTGCTATCACATTCTCCATCTCTGACACTCTTTCCATCTATCACAGACCGAAAGTATCCCTGGTGTACCTGCCTCTGCCCCTCACACCCCTCATTCCCAGCTCTCAGCATCCCCAAAACTAAACCCTGCACCCACCCCACGGGCTCCACCTCACCAAAAACCCCACAAAAACCAACCCACCCATCCCCGGGGCGCATCCATGGGCGATTTTGGTTTTTTTTTTGGTTTCAGGAAAAGCTGTTGAGTAGGGGCTGAGGAAACAAGAAGAATAGCAGCCCTATTGGTGTCGTCTTCAGAGAGGAACTGGGTTCTCACTGTGTCAACAGCACTTGGCGTGAAAGTGGCCGTTGTTTGGGGAGACACTGCTCCTTTCACTGCTGGTCACTGCTTTCCCTCCCAGCTGCTGGGAGCCGGGTGCTGTTTTGACGGACAGAGCGAGTGCGATGCCGACAGTTGTTTTAATTTCCAGCCAGTTGCAGGCATCACTCCCAGGGCCCTGAGCAGAGCAGCCAAGGCTGCAGGGCTGGGCAATAACTATTTGCAGTGTTTGGGAATAGAAATGCAAATAGAACCTTCGAATCTCGGGATGGTTTGGGGTGGGATTTTGGCCTTGTCGCGTTCCACGCCCCCTGACCAGGTTGTTCCAAGCCTTGTCTAATCTGCCTTTAAGACTTTTAGGGTGTCCATAACCTCTCTGGGCAACCTGTGCCAGTGCCCCACCACCCTCATAGTAAAGAATTTCTTCCACACGTTGTATGTATGGGCCAGTGCAGGAGCAACCCCCTGCAGCATCAGGACAGGGATGCAAACCTACTGTGCCCGTTGGGGGTGGCAAAGGGGTGGCTTGGAAAGGTTAAAGTGGTTAAAAAGGTTAAAAATTTCTTCATGTTGTCAAGCCAGTGACCTATGGTTAAAGCTTGGTGTCATTTTGGAGCCTTTGGGGTTTTCAGCGCTGATAAACAGGTCTGGACCGTGCTACACCTCAGCATCCTGCAGGGACCTTGCCTGAAGGGCAGGCAGGGGTTTGCAGCAGGGTTTGGGGTTGTCCCACCTGTGCTTCCCTCTCTGGCATCTCTGCCTGGGAGAGCAGGAATCCCCTGGGGGCCAAGTCCACGCTGGTGCTGGAAGGGCTCAGGGTGGCCAAGGAGGAGGCAGCAGTGAAACCCCCACCTAGACTAAACAAGCTGACAAAATCCCAATGGATTTTACTCCCCGCCAGCTTTCCTCCCTGCAGCGGTGTGAGATAGCAAACTGTAAATCAGGGAGGAGAGAACAGCTCTGGCCATGGGAGCACGTCTGGGCAGGGAGGTCGGGGGGTTCTGGCGCCAGGAGTGGGAGCCCAGCTGGGCTCTGTGTGTCCACGATTCCCCCCAAGGGACGGGCTGACTTCACGTCTCGCTCTCCAGTATTTCCTATTCTTGGATATTGGAACAAATTCATTTAAGGCAGTGAATTGCTGTCGTGTTACGTGGCTCCAACTGGCGGAGCAGGACCTGGAGCTGCTCTGGTTTTGGTGGAGTGAGAGCAGCACTGAGCCCTGTGTTTGCTTTCCTTGCAGGTGTCCCGGGTGCCCGTGGAGTCCTGTGAGCAGTACACGACCTGCGGGGAGTGCCTGAGCTCGGGGGACCCCCACTGTGGCTGGTGCTCCCTCCACCACATGTAAGTCCAGCCTTGACCACTTTGTGATGATAAAAGCAGCTTTTAAAGCCTACCAAGCACCTCCCACACGAAAAGAATTAGGTTGAAGTTCCTTAAATCAGTTTTTTCCCCTTCTTTGGACGTTCCCTGCGTTGGCAGCACGAATGCCTTGGAAATTCCCTGAGCTCCTGTGGAAGGGTAAAGGAAAATAAGCTCCTGTTTTGGGAGCAGTGGGTCACTCACTGCGTGGAGAGGGTGATGTGGACACAATGAAAAACCAGAATTTAAACTGGTGGGAATGGAGGCCTCGTGTTTTGCACGCTCCTGCTCCCCTGAGCCGCAAATCCCAAATAACAGGGAATTCCTAAAGGCAGCAATAGACTCTGATTATATGAGTGGGACTCTGCTTTCAGCGAGGTTACAGCATCAGAGCAGAGCACTGAGCCCTTTTAAATGCACCAGGAAGGGATATTTAAATGCTGCAAGGAAGGGTCAGGGGGTCCGTGGTGCTCCAGCCGTTCCCGGTGGGAGCCGGGAGCACGGGGCTCGGGACTGGGAGCCCCCCACGTGCATCCCCAGGCACGGAGGGCTGAGGGTGATGGGGTTCTTTTTTTGCAGGGGAGCTCCAGGAAACGCTCTCTGCATTCAGGAGGTGTCCCTGTCCTTCCTTTCTCTCCGCTGCCATAATAAGGATCACTTCCTAAGGCGGAAGGGAGACCACCGGGCAGCGGCGGAGCGGGGGAGGAGGGATGAGCCTGTAGAAATCCCTCCGGCCCGGTGCCAGCTCGTAGAGCAGCCCCGTTAAATGCATGGAAAGCGTGGCAATGGGGGGAGGCAGAGTTCAGGGACCCGCACAGCAGCGCTTGGCCACGAGCCTGAGGAGCAGGTGCTGGAGGGGAGCAGGGAACACCAGGCTCCTCCGCAAATCTGGCCTGGATTTGGGACCCGTGGGCCTCGGGGTGCAAACCAGCTCCCCACAGCTCATTCAGGTTATTGCCACGCTCGGGGAGGTGCAGGAGAGCCAGCTCAGCCCCTGGCCCTGAGCATCCCTCTGGCTCCACACAGGCAGGGGCTGAGGGCAGCAGCACAGCCCTGAGCATCCCACCAGCAGCACCCCAAGGCACCCTGGGCATCATTTGGGGTCTTTTTTAGCTCGTTCTTTTTCAGACAGGCACCCTGGGCATCATTTGGGGTCCTTTTCACCTCGTTCTTTTTCAGACAGGCACCCTGGGCATCATCTGGGGTTTTTTAGCTCGTTCTTTTTCAGACAGGCCTGTCCAGCCCTACAGCTGAACCACCCTGTGTGCAGTTGTGTCTGGAAGTCTTTGCTATCACAGCTGCTTTGTCAGGAGTGATTTCCACCCCTGTGGATTCCCATCCCTTTGGCTCTGCCTTGTGTGCCTTTCCAGAGGCTGGGACAGCCGTGCAGGATGGGGAGGGGATGCTGCATTCAGTACCTGTGGGTGGGTGTGCTTGGTGCTGCTCCTCAGCCTCCTGCAGCAGCTCCTCTGCAAGGATCACCGAGCACTTTCCTAATGCTAATGAACTGAATCTTCATAAGCCACCTGGGAAGCAGGTAAAGGTTGTTATCTTCATTTTGCAGAGAGAAAACCCTCAATGTCAAGAGGAGAGAAAAGTGTCATTTCCTCTGCCCTTTTGGCCATGACATTTCAACATTAACCTATTCCCAGCAAGGGTTCCTTCCCCGATGGTATTTCTCAACTCTTCCCTTCAAGCATCTGCACTTTGGAGCAATGATCATTTCTTAGCTTCTGTTTAAAGCTGTAAATAATTGAGTTTATCTCGCTGTTCCTGAAGCCTCTGTCGTGTTTGTTTGGAGGCCCCAAGTGCTGGAGTGTTTGTATTTAATTTGTCATCTCTCCCCTCTAAGTCTTACACGTTCCTCCAGCCAGAACAGCTGCTCAGTGGAAGGGGTGGCATGTCAGGGTGTGATGCTCACACTGTAGTTTCTGAAAGATGGCTAAAAGGAGGGTGTGTTAAAAGGATGAGGAGCAGAAGAGGAGATGATTTAGCCCTTGGAAGAGGAGATGATTTAATCCTTGGAAGAGCAAGAGGGTGGCTGGTGACCTGAGCAAGTGTGGAGCTGGTAAACACCAGCACTGAGTGTCTGTTGGGGATTGAAATTTAAAAGTTCTCCCCACTGCTTGTGGGATTTTGCTCCTTGGGTTTGGGGTCTGTGTCCTGGGGGGTACCAGGGCACCCAGGCAGCTCAGGGTGTCTGTGAGGAGGAGCAGGGCAGGCCAGCCCCTATGGCAGCTCCTCTCTGGACACTTGGAATCCATGTTTGCAGTTGCCAGAGGTTTAGCTGAGAGTGTGGACACGCAGGTTCTGAGGCATCTGGGAGCCTGAAAAAAAAAATCAGGATTTTAAATGATGTGTTGGATGCCTGAGTATGGATGGACATGAGAGGGATGGACAGAGCACCACCCCATTCCAGGAGGCACCAGGCAGTGTGTCCTGCCTTCCCCACCACCAGCCAGAGAGGAAGGAAATAATGGAATAGTAAGGAATAAAGGAAAAGTGAAAGGATCTGGGTTGTCCTGGGCTGTTTCATTGTCCAATATTACACAGAGCTCTCCTTGTGTGCTCATTAGGGGGTGGTGTCTCTTGGAGGCCTCAGTCAGGGTTCAGGCTCTGTGGCACAGGGGGTGTTTGCACACCTGGAATTCCAGGATAGTGGTTGTAATGATACTGATGGATGAGCTGTGGATGAGGGTGAAATCAGTGAGCTCTGAAGCAGGAGCTGCTCACACTGGAGGCTCCAGCCATGAACCTGAACCAGGAGATTCCCAAAGCAGATTAACTCACAAAAACCAGTGGTTGATGAGGTGGTGGCCATGGGCAGCACTGGGATTTGAGGAATTCTGGGTGCAGGACATTTGAGAAGGTGCTAAAAACCAGCAGGATGGGAAAGGTTCTCATTCTTCTGCCAAACAGCCCTTCTCACCTTGGGGTCCCTGGGGCAGCAGGCGATGGCTGAGCAACCCATTCCTGCCTGGAGCCTCTGCTGTGTCCTCCCTGCCAGGGCTTTGCTTCCCATGCAAGTTCATCCCCTGCATGGAGAGCAGATCCTTTGCTCTTCCTCTTCTACAAGTAGCAAGTGCTCTTTGGGAGCGATCAGAGGCCTTGAGGAGATTGTTAAAGAGTCTCTTCAGCCCAGTGGGATCCCAAACCTGCAAGGCTTCCACGCGCTGCTCTCTGCAAGTGTGTTATTGTCTCCAGACCTATTTATCTCTGTTAGGGCTGCTGCCATAAATAGTATGATAAAAAAGAGCCATTCCAGCGAGTCAATGAGATAAAGGCTCCAGTCAAGAGCTCACTTTAAAGCTATCTTACAGATTCACTTAAACCTCGATAATTCTTCCTTTGGCAGCATTCATATTTAGCTCCATTATGCTCCAAAGGAAAAGGTACTAAAAGCAAGAGGGTGAGGAGAGCAGCACCACCATTTGCCAGGGATCACACAGGTGGTTTGGAAAGGGAAAGTGGACACTTCACTTAATCTTAATCTAAAGCAAACAGCCTCATGAGAAGGATCCTGGTCCCACTGTTTCATAGAATCACAGAATCCCACAATGGTTTGGGGTGGAAGGGACCTTAAAGCTCATCTCATTCCACCCCCTGCCATGGGCAGGGACACTTTCCACTAGCCCAAACCACCCCAACATGACCTAGAACACTTCCCAGGGTGGGGCAGCCACAGCTTCTCTGGGAAACCAGGGAGCAGTGCTGCTGTTCCAGAGCCTGGTTTTGCCCCTCTGTCAGTGGCCAGAGCTTGATGGCAAAATGCAGCCTCTGCGTGGGCAGGACGTGTTTCTGCTGACGTGTTTGTGCGTCTGGCACAGCTGGAGCTGCTCCACAGGGAGCCAGGGAAACAAGCAGTGTGACAGCAGGACCTTGTTAATTCAGGTACCACAAACACTCCAGAAACTATCAGAGGGAACTTGCTGGTGGGACTGGGAACGGCAGCTCGACCCAGCAGCCTTTGTGAAAGCAGGTCCAGGACCAGCAGGGAGTGAAAAGGGACAAAGTTTGCTGATGGCTTATTGACACCATTAGTACCAAAAGACAAATACATCTTCCAACCCCAGGAAGAAAAGAATTTCCCCCAAACGACATAAAATAGGAAATCATGGAGGGATGACAGTGCTGCAGTCTCAGCTATCTAGCCTGAAACACTGATAATTCTTCCTTAGTCTCCTGGTGGGTGCTCTGCTGGAAGCAACTGAATGTCACTCTACTCCAAGGACACCTGCAATAGAAAAACAGGGATAACGAGCCATCCTGGAGCACACAGCATGCTAGGAGCAGTCCTAGTCACTTTGGCATGCTCTGGGGCTTGCATTCCTGCTGGTGGGAATGGGAGAGAGCTGGGAGCTTAAGGCATGAAAACCAGCCAAGCACCGCTGGCAGCAGCTGGAAAGTCCCATTCCTGGCTGTGTCTCACCCCTCAGCTCCAGCAGGAGATGATTACTGAACTATGTGGTTTTGTTTTAGTCAGAATAGAGGCATCATCTTGTTGTTGTTTCGTGGTTTGGTTTCTGTGCAGACGAGGAGTTTATGGGCTGCAGAGTGCCTGGCTCAGCCCACACCCCCAGCACCCACTGTCACCCCTGGCACTCAGAGCTCTGGGTTGTGTCCCAGTGCAGGCAGGACTGGGAGCAGCTCACGAGATCCTCGTGGTTTGTCTTTCCTCTGCTCACAGGACATTTTTCGGCACCTTTCAGCCCCACCCCGGTGCCCGACAGCGGGTGCCGGTGCGGAGCATCGCCGGGTGCCGGGGCAGGACACCTTGCCCGGGTGTTTTCCGTGCTCTGACGTGTCTCTGTGTGGCAGGTGCTCCCCGAGGGACAGCTGTGAGCGAGCCCACGAGCCCTTCCGCTTCGCAGGCAGCATCAGCCAGTGCATGAGCGTCACGGTGCAGCCCAGCAGCATCTCCGTGTCCGAGCACAGCCTCCCGGTAAGCAGGGAGGGGGGGGGCTGTGGACTTCCAGAGCCACTTCCAGAGCCATTTCCAGCATTTTCCAGGCTTGCAGTGAACACTCTGTTCTCCAGGCTTGGCACAAGTGTTTTCTCATGAAGTCAGGCTCGCAGAGCAAAGGGGTCATCCGAGCCGGGCAAGAGGGGGTGGCAGAAGCAAATTCCCCTTCCCCTCGGGCCTCAGCTCATATTTCTCTTGCTCTGGTTTCGTTAGCTGGTGAAAGGAAAGGCTTTGTTTCCCAAAAAGCTCATCTGTGAGCTGTGCTCAGCCCTGGCTCTCCGAAGCATCCCAGCTGTTGCTCCTGGAGCCCCCCAGCACCCCGTGGCAGCTGGGTCCTGGCCTCGCTGCCTCCCCTTCCTGGGATAACCCTCCTGACACTCCGTGTGGAAATAGTGGAGGGCTGTTGGGAGGCCTCCAGGCACTGTTTTGCCATGGGGACAGTCCCCATCTGTGATGGGATCAATGGGAATGTGCTCATTCCTGCTGGGATGGGGCAGGGGGGTCTCTCCTGGTCGTGCCGTGGGGCAGGGAGGTGGTTTGAGCAGAGGGGTTTTGGGATGGTCGCTGCTGTTCTCATGCAGGAGAGGGAACACACTGCTGCTGCTACAGCTACACAGGCATTGGGGGTGGCAATGCTTCTGTAGGGCAACCAGGGGCCAAAAATCTGCCATTGCCCCACTCCTGACCTGCAGTGCCCAAAGGCTCAGCAGGGTGGGTTTTTATCTGTAAAGAACCTCCCCCTCCTCATTAAAGGGCATCTGGCCACCTCCCATGGGCAGTTGAGTAATTTAAGGGGGTTGCACAGAATGGGAAAGCGGCAGGGACTGGAAAGGCGAAGGAAATTTGGGCAGCTTTGCCTGCTGACTGATTTTCTGGCTGCTGTGTTCCCTCCTGTCCCCGCTGCAGCTCAGCCTGCTGGTGAGTGATGCTCCAGACCTGACAGCCGGGGTCACCTGCCTCTTTGGGAACCTGACGGAGGTGGAGGGGCAGGTTTCGGGCAGCCAGGTGGTGTGTGTGTCACCACCAGCCAAAGATGTTCCTGCCATCCCCGTGGATCAAGGTAAGTCGCTGACTCCTGGTGATGTCTGTGCCACCAGACAGCCCCGAGTGGGTTTGGCAGTGTTTTCTGGGTGGGGCAGAGCCTTTGGGGCTGCTGCTGGAGAAATTCATGCTCCTGTCAAAGGCTGTTGAACCCAGGGAGCTAAATACGCTTCATCCTTTAGAAATGCATCCCACACGGGGAAGGATAGGCTGGGAGCAGGCAGCAGGACACGATTGCCCTGTCTTTACACCCTCCCTGCGCTGCCAGACAGCTCCCAAGGCAGGACAGGAGCTGTCTGTCCCCTCCAGGGTGGCTCACGAGTGGGCAGGGGCTCTCAGCCTTGCCAAACTGGGTGAATCTGGAAAGCAGGAGTCCTGGCTGAGCACCCACGAGTAGGTGGATGCAGTTTCAATTTTTTTTTTGTCCCGATCTTGGGGTTGTTTCTTCATTAATGTCACCACCGTCGTGTTTTCTCTTCCTGTAACCAAAATGCTGCTTGCTTAAAACTCATTTTCTCCTTGGCATCCTTCCAGGTGCCAGCGGGGCTTCCCTGCTGATATCTTTGTATTTCTGAGGCATTTTATGGAGCCTGAGAGTTGGTGAATGCTGGGGGCTCAGAGCCCCAGGGTAGCAGGGCCAGGTTAGACTTGCCCACAGCAACTCCAGAAGAGCAATCTGCTCTTAATTAACCCAGTGCTGAGGCTCCTGAAGAGCTTCACTTGTTTCCAGCGGTGTCTCCTATTCTAGGAGATACTTCTAGGAGGTGATGTTCAGTAAAGCTGTGGATCCCAGTTCCTGGAAGTGTCCAAGGCCAGGCTGGATGGGGTTTGGAGCAACCTGGTCTGGTGGAAGGTGTCCCTGCCCATGGCAGGGGGTTGGAATGAGATGATTTTTCCCTTCCAATCCAAACCCTTCTGTGATTCTGTGGTTCTAGTCTTGGGCTGCTTCTCAGAATACACTGGATTTTTGTTTTGGTTGGGAGACATTGCTGGAGACAACCAGCCCAGCAGCCTGGGGTGCTGGAGGGCAGGGTCCAGCCAAGGGGGGTGTGGGTGGGGGTCCTGATGGCTGGGGGAGCAGGGAATGGTGGCAGCCTGAGTTCCCCTTGTACCCCAGCAGCAGGGGGCTCAGCGGGTGCCCCTGCATCTGGTGTTGCTTCCCCCATTCCCGCTGGCAGGACTGACAGGCTCTGCTTTGCCTCCCCAGACTGGTTCGGGGTCGTGCTCCAGCTGAGGTCGCAGGAGACGGGGAGGACGTTCGTCAGCACAGAGTTCAAGTTCTACAACTGCAGCGCCCACCAGCTGTGAGTGCTCCCTCCCCGGCCCCAGCAGAGCCAAAAACTGGACAAAAACCCTGGGAAATGGGTGCTGGGCTGCGGGACCAGCTGTGGGGGGGTTATCACACCGCTTGGTCCATCCAGCACACACGTGGGATGCAAGGGGAGCCAGCAGCCCGTGTCTGCTCCGAGCTCCGGGTGCCTGGAGGAGCTTTCTGTGCCTCGGGAGCCGCAGGTGGAGCGAGCCTGGAACAACCTCAACCTGCTGGTGCCCCCAAGCTGCGCCAGCCCGCAACTGTGAACTCGGCGGCAGCCTCGCAGGGAGCGGGGGAAGGCAGAGCAGAGGGGCCGGGGAGGGGGGTGCCGGCAGGGGGAAGGGGGCTGCAGGTAATGGGAGGGGGCTGCAGGTGGTGGGAGGTGGGCTGCAGGCAGGGGGGAGTGGGCTGTGGGCAGTGGGAGGCAGGATGCAGGCAACAGGGTGGGCTGCAGGCAGCAAGAGGCGAGCTCTAGTTACTGGGAGGGGGGCTGCAGGTACTGGGAGCTGAGCTGAAGGCAGCAGGGTGGGCTTCAGGCAGCAGGAGGTGAATTGCAGGCAGGGAAGGGTGGGTTGCAAGTAGTGGGAGGTGGCTGCAGGCAGAGGGGAGGCAGATGCAGGCAGGGGAAGGTGGATGCAGACAGAGAGGAGGTGGGTGCAGGCAGAGGGGAGGTGGGTGCAGGCAGGAGAAGGTGGGTGGAGGCAGAGGGGAGGTGGCTGCAGGCAGAGGGGAGGTGGGTGCAGGCAGGGGAGGGTGGGTGCAGGTAGGGAAAGGTGGGTGCAGGCAGGAGAAGGTGGATGCAGGCAGAGAGGAGGTGGGTGCAGGCAGGGGAAGGAGGGTACAGGCAGAGGGGGGATGGGCTGCAGCCAAGGCAGGAATCAGGCCCACTGGGCTGCTCCCTGGAGGGCTCAGTGCTGCTGAGGATCATGGAAATACGTCCCTTCTGGGCACGTCTGCTGCTGGAAGGCAGCAGGCAGCTGGCTGGCCTTAAAAACACATTTACAGACCTGAAGCATTTATGGATTTCTCTCTGGAAACAAAGCAAGCTCTAAAGCACCTGAAAGGACTGCGGGCAGGACCTGCCAGCAGCTGGATGGGGAAAAGAAGGGCTGGGAGCAGCTCCTGTGCCAGCACTGCCCTGGAGCCTGGTGTGCTGCTGGGGGCACCAAGGGCCAGTGCAGGGTCACTCCCTGTCTTTCTGTGCTGGGTTTGAAACCTCGAGCTATGGGGCCTTTCGTGCTGCACTTGGAAGAGGGTTTGTGTGCTGCTGGGCTTGGCTGGCCTGTGGTTTTTCTAGGCATGCATTCATTTGGGATTTTACTTTTGTTGTGAGCAGAGCCACTGGGATGGCAGGAGCCCCGTGAGTCCTGCAGTGCTGCCTGTGGTGGTCTCTATCCATAATCCCAATGACTCCTGCCTCCTGTCGTGCTACCCCTCATGCACAACTCTGTCCTTAGGTCCTTGTCCCTCACTCAGGCTGTGCAGCACCAGCCTCTCCTCTGCTGCCAGCACTTGCAGTCCCCCCAGCCTCTCCTGCCTTCTCCTGGTTTGGAATTTGCATGAGGAATGGCATTCCAGGGACCCCTGTTTTCACTGAGGAGCTGAGGTTTGGATCAGGAGAGGCAATACATCCTTCCTGGCCTGTCATCTGGCTTCATGTGGCCGTGCCTTTCCTCCAGCTTGTGTTTGGAGATAAAGTGCTTACAGGGTGGTAAATTCTGCAGCACTTACATCACACCAGACTTGTTATCAGGGAGTTCAACAAGGGCACGAGCCAGCCTGGCAGGGATGAATCACAGCATGCAAAAAGGAGGCAGGAATACAGGGCTCAGCCAGCAGAGAGGAGACATCTATTGATCCTGAGGCTCTTTACTACCATGGGGAAGGTGTCTGGGGAGCAGCTGAGCCCTCTGGGGCTCTGGTGTCTGAAGGATGTGCCCCTGGGAGGTGGCATTAGGGAAAGATTAGGGGCAGGAGGGGTTTGAGGATGGACAGGAATGTGCTGCTTTTGCAGACTGGTGCTGTGAACCCTCCCATGCTGGATCCAGCTGTTGGGAACCCATAGGCTGAGGTGGTCAGGGCTCAGGTGTATGAATTCTGTGTCCCCAGGGAGCTGCAGGTGGGTCAGGGAACCTTCTCTGTTATGTGTCTTTTAGTAAGGGCTGGATGAGGTGGAGAGATGCATTTTCTGAAGCAACAGAGAGAATTAAGTTCTTGAGAAAGCTGGATCAAGATGAAAAAGCAAAGATGGTGACCTGGTGTAAGTCTGGGAGCTCGGGAGCCCCTTGTCCCACTGCCAGGGCTGGGCAGAGCTGAAAGCAGCAGCCAGGAAACCACAGAAACCACAGAACAGTGAGAGGAGCCAAACCAAGCCACTGGCCTGGGTGGTCAGAGAGATCCTCCTCCCTCAGAGGGAAAACAGAGAGCCCCACCAGTCCCAGCTGGGAATGCTGGACACCAGGGCCACGCCAGGTGAGGGCAGGTGAGCAAAGTGCTGCAGATCCAACGGAGACAGAAATGGGTCAGACAAATGAGTAATTAAATAAGCTTTGCAGCTCTCGATGTTCTCCCCCAGATTTGCATGTGCATGATTAGAATAAGCTTCCTTAGCTATTAAGGTCACTATGAAAGCATCAGAAGGAGAACACAATTGAGTTATTAAAACACGTTCTCATGGCAGCAGAGCACAGGAGGCATTGCCCCAGTCCCTGTGCCCAGCTGGCAAGAGCCACTGAGACCTGGTTTCCTCCTTTCCCAGAGTTAAAGAGCACTTTAAGAGTGCTTAAAGCCACACTCCCACTTCCCTGGTGATGCTTCTCTGTGCTGACCCTGGGATTGCTCCAGCCCATCCTTGCCCCGGGCACCACAGTCTCTGGAGCCACAAGCTACGACACAGAGCTGAATCCCATGGGCACAGCTCTGCCAGCAGACTGCCACCAAAACGCTGCCACGTGGCACAGAGGGGTGGCCTCGGAGATGGAGGAGGTGGCTGCTGTGAATATTAGCAGCTGTCACAGATCCTGCCTCTCTCTGGCAGCAGTTAGTGGGGAACAAAACCCACCCAGCAGTTTGCTGGCAGCTGGGCCCCCAAGGCCTGAAAAGGGTCTGTGTTCTTTCAAAAACATTTCATAAACAGTTAATTTTTTTCTGACATGAAGCAAAAGGGCCTGCTGGACTCTTTGCACTCCAAGGCCGAGCAGAAGTGTTGCCGTTGACTTGAAGCATTCCTGACTTGTAAAACAACTGATCCCATTTTTCGCCAGGCTTGCCTTGTTTTCCACTTTCTAAAAACTGAAAACCAAGCCTGGTGTGTCTGTGCAATGTCGTGCTTTATTTTATGCCAATCCAACGATGTGCAATAAATCCCAGCTGGCATTTTATTACAGAATGAACTACGAGGTTGCCTAAAGGACACTTTGGGGCGTTTGTTTTCCCAGACCTGTTTGTTGCTTTTTGTCTATCAAAAGGTCCTTCCAAAGAAACTGTTCTCCCCATGAAGGATTTCTGGCAAGGCCTGTCTGTAACCATGCAGACCTCCCAGGGGGATAACCTGTGTGTGCTGAGCTCTCCTTTCTCCCCCCAGGTGCCTGTCCTGTGTGAACAGCGCCTTCCGCTGCCACTGGTGCAAGTACAGGAACCTCTGCACCCACGACCCCACCACGTGCTCCTTCCAGGAGGGGAGGATCAACGTCTCTGAGGTACCAGACTGGCCTTTCATCCCTTTATTCTTTGCTTTTCTGTGGCACGAGTAGCACAACAAATATTTACGTGAGGTTTTTTGCCTTCCCACTTCGAGAAGTGGAGATGCAGCTTTAAAGGAGCAACAAGTGTCAGTCTGACTGAAGTGATGTTCTTGAGCTGAACACCAAAGCTGACCCTGCCTCTGCTCTCTGGGAATGCCCATGTTCATTAATAATGGTAATTACTGTGGTGTTTTCCTTCAGGGGTCTCAAAGGCTCCTCAAAAGCCAGCACCTTTCAGCAGCTCTGCTGGCGTGCAGGGGTTTGTTTTGCCTGCTGGCCAGCAGCAGGTCTTGCTGGGACTGTTCAGTGGGTTGTGTTGGCAGGTCTGGAATTTATGGCAGGAGCCCGACTGTAAACTGATTAAGGAGGGAATTACCAATGTGCACAGCCCCAGATTCTGGAAAAGAGAATGGATTCAGGTTCCAGTGCCATGGACCAGGAGCCATCTCTCTTAGCAGCTCATAAAAGGTGTGGGGCTCAAATCCAAAAATGCTTTTAACAGTCAGAAGAGGCACAGCCCGTTAATGGCTCTGCCAGCTCTTCTGTGTGTCCCAGGGCAGAGGGATCCACGAGGGAAAGGTGTTTGTTAGCACAAATTCCTGATTGAACATTGCCACTAACCCCTTGTTCTGGGGTTCCTGCACCTCTGTCCTGTCTGATTCCCAGGCTGCTGCCTGCTCCATGTTCATGAAGTCCAGAGCAGCTACAGGCTCTGATGCTGGCAGGTACAGGCTCTGATGCCCTGGTTTTTGCCCTTACTGTTCCTACGTGAAGTTTTGTAGTGCCTGAAGTGAGTGCAGGTCCTAAAGCTGAAAGGGAAAAATGGTTTAAAAGGTGCTTTGAAAATCCCGAGTGCCTTGGAAAGGGGGAAAAGCAGCAGTGAGGACATCTACACGTATCAGGAAAAGAAAGGAGAGAAGACAAACCCTTATGAGTGAGTAATGGAGACTGAGAAAAGCAGAAGGGATCAGTCAGTGGAGTAAACACTGAGTCGTTAAAAAGAAGTGACCGAAGCTGCCAGGTTGCTGCTAAACCAAGAGTAAACTTAACTCCTGGGTGTCCCTGGTTAAAATGCTGCCTGGAGACAAGGAGATACAAGGCAAGAGACATTTATGAACTGCTTGTGTAAATACCTCAGTGGGAATCTGCAAGATCCAAGGCACGGGCAGCGTGACTGGGAACAGGCACTGCTGCCAGCGAGGGATTGGAATGAATGTCCAAGGAGAAGCATCCACCCCGAGGACAAAGCAAAAGCTTTCTCAATCCAGTTCAAAGTCAAAAGACTTCCTTTCAACATATCAAGAGAAAGAAAATCCTTTGCTTCTCCTCCTCTCGAGTGATGTGGGGGTTTTTCTCCTTCACACTCAAAGCATCGCTGCCTTCCCAGGCTTTACAGTCGTAGTTCTCCCTTCTATAGGTCTTCACCCCCATGATCTCAGAAGTGTTTGACAAGTCTCTGGTAAAGTAGGACAATCCCATTATCTCTGTTTTTCTCCTGGGAGCACACAGGACTTGCCTGAGGGAAGGGAGTGGAGGAGCTGGTCTGTCTGCCAGTTCCTGCTGGGATCACAGGACTGTCGTGTCTCCAAAGAACTTCCTCTTCATCTTGTAGAAGGTTGTTTCTTACCAGGGGATGTTTTGTGATATCAAACACCTTCCTGGGGATTACTTTTGATAAGGGCTGATGATAACCATACAGGCTGTTCATCAGGACTCCTCCAGACCTCTGAACCCAGGCAAAACCAGCCACCCAAAGAAATTTGTTTGCTCATTTAAGGCCGATGGGTTGCACCCAGTGCAGTGCTAATGCCTTTATGAGGGGCCCTTCCCTCCTGCCAACACAGACGTGAAATAAGTGCCTCAGAGAGAGTTTCCTCTCCTAAACCAATCCAGATCACAATGTTCTCGTTGAGTTGTGGCTTGATATATTAGGAAGTTGTTTGTGCTTACCATCACTCCCCTCCCAGTGGTGTTTGGAGCTGGTGATCACCGTGGCAGTGCCTCAGCCCTGCCCTACTTACAGTCCCCTGTGCCTCCCCTTACGTAAGAGTTACACACGTGTTCACACGGGCTTGGAAATCTGCTCGTGCCTTTATATTTAATTCAAGAGAAAAATATGTTGAATATTCCCTTTTACTCCTGGCCCGTCAGAATCTATGTCCCAGCGGGATTCCATGTGTAGCAAAAGCTCCCTTTGATGCTCTTAGGAGTTGTCTGTCCCGAGGAGGAAAAGGAGCTCAAAGCCACAGCCACTCCACGAGGTGATGGGGGAAAGAAAGCCCCTCTCCATGAGCTGTGCACTTGCTCCTCGTGATCTTCTGGCTGTGCTGACTGAGCTAAATGCTGCTTTTTTGCCCTGCTTTCCGTGAAAATACGACTTTGAGAGTTTTTCCATCCCTGCACCTGCCCTGTGGACAGGAATTGTTTACTCAGATCCAAGGTCAGAGCTCAGGGGCACATGTGGAGGATGCAGAGGACAACCCAAAAGGTGGGTTGGTGCTTCGTCCTGGCCTGTGAAGCCATCAGTGATAACCAGGGCTATTGGTGAGACACAAAGGTGCCCCTGGACTGCCAGATCCCTGCTTTGCATCATGCTGTTGTATTTGGAGAAGTGAAAATGTGGAAAACATTGTTTAGGGTCACTGGCAGATAAACACAGAGCAGCTTTTACAACAGAGGGATCTTCCAGGACAGAGCTGGCTGTTCCTGGTATCCTCCATCCCATAGGAAGTTTCTGATGTGGGGTGAACCCATCTCCACTGAGTTCTCCATTTCCAGGTAGCCAGCTCTTTAGGAGTTAATAGTTAAATAAGCAACTATTTTCTCAGCCTGAGGCTTCATTTGTCAGCAGGATGTGCCTGCTTGGACATTGCCATCCAGAGGGCCATGGGAAGGCAAAGGTCTGGGGGTGACTTGCTCCCACTAAGGCAAAGTTTCTTCAAAAAGTCTCATGGCTCTGTAGCACTGATTGTCTCACTTCCCAAAGCTTCAGATCAGGCCAGTGGAATCTGGGTTTATGTGTCTGAGGTGGTTGTGTGTGTGCAAGGCTGTAAGATGTCTCTAAATGCTTGAAACTTTCAGATGAGGAGGAATGTGGATAAATATATCCTCACACCCCATCCCGGTGGAGAGCTAGAACCAAATAAATCCTATTAGCTTCCCAGAATGTGGGATCCCATCCCTCTTTGATGTCCACCGTGTGCAGATAATGCCATTTCCACATGCAGGATGCTGATTTGGGGATGGAACATTTCAGATTCTGGGAGTTCTTTGCCGAGCCAGATTTCAGCTCTGGTCTGACTCCTTTGAATTCCCACTGATTTTAGAGCAGTGCCTTTGCCCCTGGCTGTGCCCTTGGATGCTGAGTGCTGCTTGATGTGCCTTGAAGGGAACAAACCCAAACTAAGCCTTCCTCGTGTCTGTCCTGACAATCCCCACCATGTGGGAGCTGTGATGTGCAGGAGGGAACTCTGAGCCACATCTCAGGCCACCAAAGCCAGCAAATGACTTTGCTGTGTCACATCTAACTTTGGAGAGGTGGCTTTGCCTGAAATAGTAACAAAAAGCCCAGCTTCAGCAAAATTAACTCATCTCTGAGCTTATTGGGATTTTTTCATCCATAGCTTTTTGGGGTATGTTCAGAGGGGAAGGAGCCAGGCAGGGAAGAGCTCTGGATGTGTTCCTACCTGTCCATGGGCAAGGGAATTGCTCCTGCCCTCACCTCTGGTACACAAAGGGTTGTTTATGGGAGAGAAATCATATTTTCAGCCTTCCATGGCTGTAAATATCACAAATTAATGGAGAAGACCCAGGTTACAGCACGTGTGTTCAGCTCAGGACTAAGTGCTGTTGGGGAGGAATTTAGCAGGGAGAAAGGTTTGGCTCCAGCTGCCTTTCTTTCATGTCTGGTTTCTAAGGAGCAAGGTCTGCTCTCCTTTCCAGTGGCATAAATGAAGGATAATGTGTTTCCCTGAGTGACAGGCACTGTAATTTATATCATTGGGAACACAACTGCGAGCCAGGGCTTTACATTCACGTGCCAGATTCGTTTATGTTTAAAACTTTGAAATATGTGTAGCAAGTTAGCGTTTGTGGAGAGTTTGTGGGGTTTTTTTTGAGATGAAAAGTACAAAAACAGTCTATTTTCTGCCATTTGGGCTAAATCCCGTAGTCAAAAGAATTGCCTGCCATTTCTAAGCAATTTTTTCCAAATAAGAGCAAGGAGGTTTGACCTACTAAAACTGCTCAGTTAAACACAAATAATAACCATGGGTGCTCTGTTCTGCTCCAGAGACAGCTGCGTGTCGCGGGTCTTTAAGGTATTTATAGACCTTGGAATCTTTGAGGCTAAAAAGTGTTGGAGAAGCAGAAAACGTCTTTGTAAATTGGGCGAGATGATACTTCATAGGCAGAATATTCCCCGAGAGTCTGTGCCACTCACGCGTCTTTCTCCTGCAGATCTTCCGATTTGTGTTTATTCTGGTGTAGGGAAGTCAAGAAGGATAATGAGAGGATTCGACGTGTTTGTTTAGCGAGAGGAGGCGATAATGGCCTTTCTAACTCACTGCAGGATTTACCTCTCGTGAATTAAAAAACAAAGTAAACTGATTACGGAACAAATTGTGTATTCCACCGGCTGCACTCTCGCTTTTATTTGGTATTTTCTGGGTGTTTAGCTCTTCCTGGGGATGAAATGCAGAATGGAGCACCCAGGCTGAGCCCTAACGAAATAATTCATGCTAGCACTGGCTTTTAGATCAGGGAACAGGTAGAAGAGGTGGTGAATGGACAAACCACCCTGCCAGGCTGTTCTACTGCAGCATCACCCCCCTGCAGCTCTGTGTGTGCAGGGTGGGACCTGGGTGCTACTGCAGGAGCACCCACATGAGACCCAAACCAGCTCACATGCTCTCTGTGGGAAGGGCTGGGTGTGCAGGGATGTGGGTGAGCAGGGATTTGGGTATGCAGGGATTTGGATGTGCAGAATTTGGTTGAGCAGGGATTTGGTTGTGCAGGGATTTGGGTGTGCAGGGGTTTGGATGTGCAGGGATATGGGTGTGCAGGATTTTGGATGTGCAGAGATTTGGTTGAGCAGGGAT